TCTTCAATAATTCATTATGACTTACATTGCGTGCTGTTACTTTTAATTACACCACACCAACCATATTGTGCATGACACATCCCGACCGAAATCAAGGCGTGCTGACCGTCATGCGAGGGTGACGAAACCATGTGCACAGTGCGGAAGCAAAAATAATAATATAAGTACGAATAAATAAAAACCAAACTACTAAACAATGTAGTTAACGTACAAGTGCAAGATTAAGTGTGATAAACAATATTCAGAGCACAGAAAGCCTAGTGCAGTCCAGAGGAACAAACACTAACTAAACACACCCAAAGGTGGTCCTACACTGGTGATAATCTTGCAAAGATGTCGTGGATTCCTCGTAAGCCACCAAAAGAGTAATCCAAACTAGAACCTGGAGGGGCGCAAAACAGAAAGTGTGAGTGGGCAAAAACAAAGTTTTTCAAAATCATTTCATTATCAAAAGTTCTAACCCCTCGCCGTAAAACCTGTATAGTTTCCCAGAAAATAGAATATACACATATATCGAAAACATGTTCAAAAATATGCTATGTCGAATGCCTCAACATAAAGTGTAAGTAACCTAGGTAGTGTCAATCAATGTAAATAACATGTTAGCCGGAGTCATCTAACGTGACCTGCACGGCTGAACCTAGAGCTCAAATCCACAACTCACTAACTATACCTGCACACGAGTCGAAACCACCTAAAGCGGTCTGTACGACAGGACTGGGTGTAAATAAATATGCTCAAGTGCTATGATCACGTGAAGATTGGGCGAATAATCATGGGTCACCTACGAGTCGGAACCACCTAAAGTGGTTTGTACGACAGAACTGTGCACCTAACTTGGATCCAAGATGAGCGTGTGGTGCGGGAGGTGAACATCACGTGAAAGACTGTGCCCTACTCTGGGCGGGAGCAATAACACCGGGGGTGCAAGTTATGAGCTCTCTATGCATCTCACATAACTGCTACGTCACAACCATAAACTATAACTTACTTGACACTTACCTGAGCGTCTGCAGCACCAAACATACATATATGCTACTACTCATGCATAAATAAATATGCAACCATTATGCATGGCATTTTAAAACATATAAACATTCAATTTCATTTTTTGGGAAAAACCACAAGCATATAGGTATGTACGGAAAACCAAAAGCCCACTCACTGGTATGTGGAAGGGTCGTAACCCCCAAGTCTTGAGTGACTGCGCTTATCCTCAGGATAGATCACACCTATACGCGAAACAACTATAAAAACGTCAATTTAAAGCACATAACCAAAACAAGGTAATAACTTCTCATACAATGCTCAAATGGGGTGTTTGGATACACCAACGTGATCTACTCAACCTCACGAACATCCTCATATTTTTAAAATAATTTTCCGCGACCCTATGTGTCGGTGAGTGCACGGACCTACGCGCCCCCACGTGCGGCTACGTGACAGTCACACTGACGGCGTCAGTTAACGTCGTCAAGAATATTCCGTTAAATCCTAACGGATTTCGTTAAAACTGACTGACGGCGTCAGCATATTTCGTCCAAACTGACGAAATATTCCGTCTTCTTCTCCAGCGAGTCGCTAGTCCCCGGAAACTGGAAAGTCTTTAAAACCTTCATTTCTCACTCGTTTCTTCACCATTTTCTATGAATTTTGCACCAATGGAAAGCTGGAGATGAGTAGAACAACGTTATACCTATTTGAAACCTCAAAGATCACAGGATCTCACCGGAGATATTCGAGAAAACCCGGCCAACTTCAAAACTAGTTTTCCCGACGTCCAATTTCACCCAATGAACCACCCCGAGCTTCCTAAGGATCTCACTAAGCTTCCTATAAGCTTCAAATTCCCTGAAAATCAATATTCCACGTGTGCATTAACAGTAACAAAATCGGACGCTCATGGTTCGATGTGAAATTGAAGGATTCCTTACCTAAATTTGGTATGGTTGAACTCGTATGGTCCTCACGAACACAAAGGTACTATTTTCCACTTCGATCCGTCACGTTTGCAAGGGTTTTAAGTCCCGTCCGTACAAGTGAGAAGGAGAGAGAGAGAGTTCACGATAGAGAGAGAGACACGGGGGGAAATAGGAATGGGTGTATGTGAGTGTGTGTGGTCCAGGTGTAACCAACCAAAACAACAAAACAACCACCCAAAATGAGAAATAACCACCAATGGCAAAATTGTCATTTCACAACTACAATACGAATAATTCAGAACGGGCTATCACAGTGCATGTGGCAAGATGCAAGTGGAGTGACAATTTTGCTGGTTTTGTGAAAAAATAGTTGTTGATGCCACTAAACTTCAACTTAATTACGATACTACCACTACGCTTAAACTTCAACTTACTAGTACTCCTATATGCGATGGCTAATTTTTGTTAAGAAAGGGGTAACTTTTTTTTTTTTTTAATTTTTTTGTTAAGAAGGTGCTAAATTTCTAATCTTACTTGCTCAACCATAATTTACCCAAAAATATTTTGGTGAGCTAAATTGTCTCGCCTTTAGGATGATTTATTAATTAAAGTTAAGGAAATCACTCACACACGTTTGATCGATTGATTATAAAAAATCTCCAAACAAAATATTACCTAATTATGATGTCAAAAATTCTTTATTGCACAAAAAATTTACGAGATGTGAATGGTTGGTTAATTGGTTACATTGTGTTGATCAATTGGCTATTCAAATCCCTCAAAGTGTATTCAAAATAGTAGAAAACCCAATCATAGTCTTATGACATGCTTACTTATCACAAATTGGCATGTAAGGTATACATCATTTCCATTATCAAACACCCCCTTATTACTACAGTCTAATAATACTTTTTTAGTTGCATGTGAGAAAGCTTACGTTATACTCCGTCAATTGGTTTCAAATCTCCCACCCTAAGACCCACTACAACCCTGGGCTAAAACCTATAATTCCCTTCTTTTTCCCCCCCAAAACCCAAACCAACCCATGGCCTAAACAAAACCTAAAACCTAAAATTCATCCCAGGGCAAAGTACCTGCCCAAATTTAGGCCACAAATTGGAGTGGGGCCCACAGGGTGCGAGTGAAACACATAGTTGACATGCCCAACACGCTAGATGGAAGTCGAGGCGAACCCTACCCATGTGGGTGTGTCCCCTGGCTATTAGTGGGTGTCGGTAGCCCAACGGCTACTTTTTTTAATCCAACGGTCCACGTTCATTTTTTTTCCTTTTTAGTTTTATATTTATATATTTATTGAACCCAACGACTTAGATCGAATATAATCAAATCTAACGGTAAAAAAAAGATCTAACGGTCCAAATTTAAATCTAATGCTAAAATAATTTTAAAAAAATTATTTAACTAAAAATTCACCCAAAAACTCTATAAATACGTATTTGTTCAAACATCCACACAAAACTCACGTTTCTCCTACAATTCTTCCAATTTTTCTTTCTACCATTTCTTCTCATTTCCAAATTTTTCAAGATGGCAAAAGAGCATGTTAGAGGTTGTAATTGGACCTTTGACGAAGATATTGCTTTATGTTTCGCATGGATTTCTATTAGCGAAGATGGTGCCGTCGGCATGAATCAAGATAGAAAGGTTTTGTGGGGTAAAATTGTTGATAAGTTCCATGAAAACTCTAATGCCGGTCAAAGGGAAGCTGGTGGTGTTTATGGTTGGTGGAAGATTATCAACGAAGCATGCACTTTATGGAAGAGAAGCTTGGAGAGAGCCATGGTTGACATGCATAGTGGAAGAAGCTTCTCGGAAATTGTGAGTTTCTTTGTTGATATTTTATTTGCAATGTATATAATAGTATTTTTCAACTAATTGTTTTTATGTATGTGATGCATAGGGTGACAAAGCAATGACAATTTACAAGACAAGAACTACACCAAAAAAATCAAGTTTTTAAGTTGAATCATGCTTGGAAGTCCTCAAGAATTGTTCGAGGTGGGGAACCGATGCAGACCAACAATGGGGAAGATTATTTCATAGTGAAGCCCCGCCCCCAAATGATTTCAATGAAGGTGTGAATGAAGGTGTCGAACAAATTACCCCAACTTTTTATTTTGCAAGGCCCCTGGGAAGAGATAAGCAAAAGGGAGCAAAGAGAAAAGGGAAGTCCCAAGATCCGATGAGTGGACCCATTGCTACCGGAATTGCAAAATTGAGCGAAACCTATAGTGCTCGCCAAAAAGAAGCAGTCCGAATGCATTTGCAAATGAAGGAAGAAGGGTATAGGGAGCAAGAAAGGTTCGAAATAAATTTGATGATGGAGGACCTCAACAAATACACTCCAAAGAGAAAGAATTACTTACGTGGTAAGCAAAGGGATGCCATAAGGAGTATGTTTCAAGAAGATAATTCATCTCAAGAGTATACCCCAAGTCCACCACGAACTCAATCACCAAATCAAGATGATGGATATCATTATTAAGTTTATGTCATTTATGAATTTTCGATTGTATTAAATTTAAGTGGTTTATTAATTGTCGTTTGTATTAATTATTGTTTCTATTAATCTAGATGTCTTCAATAATTATTATACTTATTATTCCACACTTTGATGTAGAATAGATGTCTTCAATAAAATTAAAATGTGTCGATTTAATGATTTTTCAATATTTATTGGAATTTAAATATTTTTAAATTAAAATATTCATAAAATTAAATTACGATAGTCTACATAATTTTTTTTTTATTTTTTAAAAAGTTAATTTAAGAAAAACATTAGCATAAGTTCATTCTTTAATAATTCCGGGCTAAAATTTTAGGCCAGAAGAGTTCGAGCAGAAAAACTGTTTCTGGGCTAAAATCTTAATTTTCTGAGTTAAATATTTTTAGGTTTTAAGCCAGAGTTGGAGATGGTCTAAATATAATGTATAAAATAGAAAATTCCATTATGAAGCAAGGAGAAAAGTGTAATCTGGGAGATAGTACGAGGGATAAGAAGGTAAAACAAGTAATGAGGAAGATGCACAAGTGTAATCAATAACTTTTGCCGTTGAAACTTTCCCAGCAGAAGCTCGTCTGACAAGTGACAGCCTTAAAAGAGAAAAACAAGAGAGAGAAGAAAGGAATCCCAACGAATGAGAGAGAGAGAGAGAGAGGAGAAGGGAGAGGATGATTTGGGTTGTGGGAACAACTGATACGTGATCCCGTACGCGCCCTTCCTGCGCTTCTCTCTCTCTCCTCCCCCCCCCTTCTTCACAAGTTGAATCATTGGCAGGCAGCATTGGTTCTGGATTACAGTCCCTTAGATATGTTGGAGAAAATGAGAATTTAGTGAAGGAGAAGAAGAAGCAGAAGCAGATATTTCTTCACCTTGGTACTCTCTCTCTCTCTTTTTTTCTCTACATTTCCAAATTGTGCAGGAAGATGTATTTTTTGGAATTTCGGTTGTCATAGATAGACGATTTGCGACATGGGATTTCTGTTGCTTGAATTATTTTGCAGTGGTTGGGTGTTGAATGAATGTGTTGTGTAAAAGTAATGACCTTTTGGGTTTTCTTTTTAATTACAGGAAACTAACAGTTTGATGCATTAATAGTAATCCTACCTTTACTTTGAAGTAGTTTGGTTGCAAAACAACTTCCATGGCCCATGTTAGTAATTATTCACAAAACCATTTCCTAGATTTCCCCAAATACCAGAAATGAAAAAAAGAACATCATATTAACTTGTCTCACAACTTAGGTTATTGTCTCATCGAGAGTGATACTTTCGTAAACTTTGTGTCTTTGTGGGGAACGAATTCCACACAAGCGTAGAAGAGAATTAGACAGGTTACGACAGTTGCAATTAGGATGATAGAGGTCTCATTAATTGGTTACTCGGCTCCAATGGATGTTTATGCACCCTTCCTTTTGTTTTACATTTTAAAACTTATTTGTCAATCACTGTGCAGCTGGCAATTTAGCCATTAATTATAATTAGTGCAATCATAATTAGTTGCGTTTGGATTGGTTACGGTGACATAATTTTTAATTGCAATAATTAGTGTTGGTCAAACTATTGAGGAGAGGAGAGTACAGGAGAGGAGAGGAGAGGGAAGGATAGGTAGTGGAGAATAGATTATCGCTAGAAAAAGTCGGTGGGGTTGAGATCATAGCAAAATAGCAAGTGAGAGAATACAACAGATATTTTGCAAACTCTTCCTTCAAACGGCAAAGAACAACGTTTTGGTTGCCAGTGTAGAAACCACTTCTTATTACTTGCAATTAGTCAAACAGAGTTTTGTACGGACTAGGCATGAAGTACGTTGTGGAAATTGGTTATAAATACTGTTATGTTCAAAGATGTAAAATCTGATTTGATGTAATTTCAGAAACAGAAAAAATGTTGATGCGGGGAGATCTTGATCTGAATTCAATGCAAGCATACGCTGGTTCTCTAGACGATGTTGTGAGGAAGACTATGCTCAGCCAGGAGATTATGTTTAAAAAACAGGTATTAGGATACTCTAAATCACAGGATAAAAGTTGAGTCATGGAACAGATCTTGTGTTTGTGTATGATTGGCTATCGTATAAAATAATTTGCATTGGGAAAACCTTGTTGTTGATGGATGTTATGTAAGGCTTGAAAAAAAAACAACATTTGTATCAATTGCACATGTGAAACTTTTGCTGCTTACTTTTGGCGGATTGGAAATTTTGGGTTTACTCAAAGTAGGCTGCACTGAATTTGCCTTACACGTGTTTAAGATGCAAATGGGGAAAAATGCAAAAACAAATAGATTCCACTCTATTTAATTTTCGCTACTGATTTCCCTCCAGGTTCATGAACTCCATCATCTATATAGGATACAGAAGACACTGATGCAGAACCTTGGCAGGATGGAGTTTGGTAGATACAATTATAGCATAGCTGGTGCTGAGTTGAATCTTTTACCTCGGAGAAATTATGGAAGAGACGAACGTATGGTAAGTGTGGTTTTATGATAAAGGGGAGTGGAAGCAGCCACAGTTTGTGCTCCCACTTGGCCCTTGTTTGTTTCGTTGCAGTGTATGTGGTATTTTCAGACTGATAGCAGTAGGTCTAAGGCAGAATATGTGGACCGAAATTTGGTCGTGCCTTTGTAACAAACTTATCAACTAATTTGGTCAAGATCTATCCTGAGGCAGAGATAAATAAAGTATCTAGTCTTTAGAGATGGGTTGATAACTAACCTAGTTTCATTTTATATTACTTGTTATTTATGGTGTTAGTGTGGTGATTTAGTGCTTGTCTTTGAAGTTTGCTTTACACAATCTATATTTCAGAACTTGTTAGAACGGTGCAAGGGTGTAGATGATAAGATTCAGCCGAGGAATCCTGAGCTTAAACTTCACACAGATCAATGCATTAGCTATATTGGTAAGAATCTCCCGAAGGATAATCATACAAGGTATCACTTGAAAGTAACTCTGGAACTTAGGTGATCTCTTTGTTGTGATAATGTCGCAGATCCAGCGGAGCTGAAGCTATCCCTGAGCATTCAAGAGGACAATAGGAAAGAGGGAGGTACTAAGAGGATTTGGTTTGATTTAGAAACTCATTCCTGCTCGCAACACATGATTGATTTAGAAGAACCGATTGAAAGGACATCAAATGAGGGCTTGGAACAGTCACCTTCTTTCAGCAGTACTGCTCCAATAACAAGCGCCAGGGGCACAGACAATTCAGAAGTTTCTGTCCTCTTTGATCTGATCATCTCGAGTAGTGTGAAGAAAAATCTATTCTTTCATGCTGCTGAGAGTAACCCTCATTTAGATGGCGGCGAGTGGAATCCTTTCAATCAAGGTATGCGTTCAGTTATTCCGTGCACAACTATTTACGTGGCATTGAGTTGTTTCTGAAGGTTCAGTCTTGTGTACATTTTAGAATTTGTGTTGGTCTCTTTTTTCAGGATTAGAAAAGCGTTCTGGTGGCATTGCAATTAACAATTCATCCACCAGGAGGCAGCATTTCGGTTCATATGAAACAGGGCTACTGGACCTTAACAAAATTCAGAATGATGATTCATCTTGTCTCTCAAATGATCATACAGTAGCCCATTTTTCAACAGCTAGCTCTTCACATTTACGCGGATTAGTTAGCAAGGTAGAGGAGGGCCCTCATTGTTATGAAACTGGGAAAAAACTAAATAATAATGGCTCAACTGAAACTTCTGAAGGGTTTCAAAAATACAATGCTGGAAACTTCAAAGTTGATGGATCGAGCATAAGTGGAATGGGCAATGTAAGCTTGGAGGCTGTGCCTAGATCGAAGATAGACCTCCAGGAAGCAGTTGGTTTCCACAGTAATGACCCCAGTAATGGAAACAATGGGTTCATCATGAAGCTCCTAAACAGTCGAAGTAGTTCGTGCACTTCTGCTAGACAAGTAAATTATGAGAACAACAAAGTAGAAGACCCTGTATTTTCATATACTGATCATTGTCGAAAAGTTGATCCAGATGGACATGGCAATATATCTTCTGCTTCATGTAAACCATGCTGCATTGGCGAAGATGATTCCAGAAGTGTAAAGACTATGCAGTCTGAAATTGAATATGGAAACTCAAATCCCTTTTCTGTTGATCAGTTTTCAGGAACACATGTAGAGTCTCAAGTTTCAGAAACCTTAATGGGTGAGCAGGACCGAAGATCTTCTGACAGCAGTGAATTAAAACACAAAGACCTCAACAAGGGAGGGGATTCAGCTGAACTGGATGTTTTGATCAGAGCAGCTGAAGCACTTGTCGGAATCTCATTGGAGAGTTCATCATGTTGTCGTGATTGCACTTACGAAGTAGGAGGTGCAAATAAGATGGAAACGAAGGAGAGTGAACAACCGCAGTGTTCTTCTGATTCTTATGAGTTACTCACACTAAATCTAATAGAGAGCACTGAAGATGACTATTGCGTGTCATTAAAGCCTTCTGAGGTGAATTACGATGACAGTAAGGAATTTGGCATTAAGTTGAGAAGGGGGAGGAGAATGAAAGATTTTCAGAGGGACATTCTTCCTGGTCTGGCATCTCTTTCCAGACACGAAATTCGTGAAGATATTAACATTATGGAGACAGTTTTAAGATCAAGAGAGTACAAAAAGCTAAGAGGCAAGGTGGCTGATTATCAGAGCTGGTGTACTCCTGTCAAAAACAAACGTTCACGACTCAGCTATGTTCCGCGGAGGAAAAGAAATTTATGAGAAGCGTAAGTTGGGAATGACAGAGATTGTGGAAGTATGATATCTATTTGTACCATTAGCTGCATATAAGCGTATTCAGGCTTTAGAATAATTTATTTACTTTCTGATTCATGTACTGATCTTATTATTAGTATTGGTAACAGGATAAGTGTTCACGCAGAAATTCAAAAATAATGATTCAGAATTTGTTGTCATTTATTGTTTTTTCTTGTGCTTGATGAGCTTACAAGAGCCAAAGAAGGTTTCTAGTGCAATTGTTTTCCCTATGAAGAGACAGGATTTTCTGATTCTTCAGGAGCACATTAGGCCGCACAATTGATGATGTAATGAACAGATTTTGGAAGAAAAGAACTTAGATGTAGACTTATGAAACATGTTTGTGCAGCTTTTGTTCGCTTTGATTTTGCGATTGTTTTGTTTGAGCTTTCAAGTTGGTCGAATTCGTAGTTGCATACTCGGCCGAAGCTTTAGCCCAACCAAATGAGTTCTACGGATACAATAATTAGCGAAAATTTTACTATGCTCGAGTGTAGGAGATGCATCAAGGTAATGAATGATTGAATGTGCAGTCAATCCAACGAATATGTATATGAAAAAAATCCCTGAACTTTGACAATACAGAATCCTGTGAAATTAATAAACGATGCAGTAAAGTGATAGAGTGGAGGCAAAGCGACTAGTTGCCACCCTTTGGGAGCAAGCATGCTTCATGCTACATAAAACCAAACTCTTCACTCAAGTCATCGAATCCTTATTCGTCGTCTTCTTTGCTACATGCCCCACAATTCACAAATGCAAATTATGAGATAATAACATTGAATTCATATGCAAATTTTGAAACCAAACTTTGCAATAGTTTTCCTCCAGATACTTTTTGTTGATTAATTTTGTTTGGAATTAAGGACTGATAAAAGAGGGGAGAGAGTGTGAAAAGAATTGAAGCCTCTGTGGTTACAAGGGGCGGAGAGGGTAGCGTAAGATTTTAGAATAAGTTCGAACTTCAGTTTCCTTCATGTACTTTTTGAGGAGTGAAATTTTGATTACTTAATTTGTTTCCTGATTTTCAATCACTTATTTTGTTTCCTTGCATACTTATGTTTACTTTTGCTTTTGAGTTGAATTAATCAAAGAAGAATCAAGTGAAATAAATAAATAGGAGTGCGCAGACTACATAAGGAAGAAAAAAAATGAGAAAATCATTTTCCTAATTTTTTCTAGCCGCCAGATAATGAAAATGGATTAAACAACATTTTATTTTGTTAGTCAATTTTAGATTTTGAAAAGACGATACTTTAAGCTACATTAAGTTTTGATCTTATACTTGAAAAATGATTGTTTTCTTTCATGTGTGAACCTACTTATTCCCCCATTTATGATTAACACGTCATCACTGTGAGGACGTCATATAAAGTATTAATATGTACATTTTTCAACATCTTATTGAGATTTATGATTTTTAAATAGATGAAGCATGCAATTTATCATTCTTCCCTGTACTCCGCTCTCTCTCTCTCTCTCTCACAATCAATGTAAGATATGTCAGATATTGTGTTGGTTAGTGGCTTAGTGGGTTGTGAAACTTAAGGCACCATTGACTATCTGGGCAGCAAGCTCTTGTTTATTTCAAAATATAACCAAAGATCCGATGAAGTGGATGATGAATATTTTATCCACTAAAGCATCACACTACATTGGGTGGTTTCTGCCACATTGCCTTTACCCTTATCACAGTCACATTGATGTGCCGGAATATTGAGGTTGCAATTGCATAATTTGCATGAATATTAATCTGCAATTGAATCATGGAAAGGGAATCAGGTGTCTGTCTTTCAATGAACCCAGGGTTGGATTTCAGAATTCATGAGGTTGCTCAAAGCAGTTTGAAGCATGCCCATCGCCTCTTTGGTTCCATCTCTGAGAAAAAGCATAAGAGAAGTGCTCAAGAAGTAAGCCTGGTTGCTCAAGATGCAGTAAACGAATTCCGCAAACTGCTTACTCTCCTTGATGGATCAATCTTATCAAATCAGAAGAGGATCAGAAGGGGTCCACTGCCCGAATCCCGTGGCATAAACCAGGTTGAACTGTTGGAATCCCATCAGCCTAGCTCAGGGTTTAGACAGTTGTTTAGTAATACTCATCAGAGTGATCATGCAGCTGCAAATGTGTTCCGAAGTAATGGCTTTAGCATGGTTAGAGAGCGAAAACCGAGCCTGGCATTGCAGCAAGGCCACTGTGAAACCAGTGTGGTTCTTCCTAATAATTTGATCATGGGTTTGAACCAATTCTCACAGAAGCCTAGCACTTCTTTGATTAGTATGGACGGAAGTAGCATCAACACCCAGACGCGGATGATTCACTATTCTTCGTCTGAACTCTTTGCTTCTCAAGATAGCGGCTCTATGTTTTCTTCTAAAAAGAAGTGTGAAGAAGCCAGTACAAGATGTTTAGCCTCTACCGGTGGATGTCATTGCTCAAAGAGAAGGTATTTCAGTCCCAATTAAAATACAATCCTATACGTGGCTGCTTTTTGTTGTTTGTTACACAATTTTTTAATTGGTTTTTTTTGTTTGCTTTTTTCTTGTTGCTTGCTAAAGGTTTTTAATCTCTTATGTTTGTTCGTCTCCTCACAGGAAACTGAGAATAAAGAGAAGAATACGAGTTCCGGCCGTAAGCAATAAGCTAGCTGATATACCTCCTGATGACTATTCTTGGAGGAAGTATGGCCAGAAGCCTATCAAAGGGTCTCCATATCCTAGGTATTTCTATGTTATTATTTTCATTTCCATATAGATTTCGAAAAGTCTTCTAAATTGCATACAAGTTAACCACTAAGCATTAAGCTGCACCGGTTTCCAATCTCAGTATTCAGATTATTTGATGTGTATATATTTGTTTAATTCTATCATGCATACGCTTCTATCATGTATGCGTGCATATGTTGTCATTGTCCTGCTAGTAAAGCATAGATTCGATGTTTTATCACCAACTAAGTACAAAATCTGAATGTTATGCTTAACCATTGCCAAGGGTTTAGCTGATATGTCTGTTCAATCGTGCTTTTGGTTTCAAAGGAGTTATTACAAATGCAGCTGTGTGCGAGGATGTCCTGCACGAAAGCATGTCGAACGATGCTTGGAGGATCCTAACATGTTGGTTGTTACATACGAAGGCAATCATCAACACCCAAGGTTTACATTTCAAGCACCCTCTGTTGCGATTTAAGTTCACCAAATGAATCAAAATAGGCCGACATTTCACAGCTTGACCTGGTTTTACATTGTAAGCTTCTCTTCTGCTCAAATCCTGAAACTGTTAAAAGTGTAACTTTGAGGTGTGATCTACTCCTCCGTCCCGATTTGTCTTTAATAATGTTTTCACTCAGATTAGATCATTGTACATATTTACATGTGAAAAGTTGTATTTGAATTACATCCCTTATGGTCTTATGGTTGGGAAGAAACCAGTTAATAATGCACCAGATTCTCAGTTTTATGACGCCACAATTTGGTCAGTGAAAATTGCCCATGTGTGAGATGGCAAGCTGAAAATAAAGCAAAAACAAGCAGGCTAGCTTTGTTGAGAGATTGAATGACAATGTAGTGCAAGTGCGGGATATGCAATGGCCCTTCCTCATTGCAAACCCTAAATGACCCAAGTGGGCTCTCAACTTATGTCTAATTAGATGGGCTCAAATTTAAAGACCACAATGTGTGGCTGGTCGTGACCAATTCTAAGGACAAGTAGGATGCTTTTATAATTTAGTAAAACTAATGAAAATAACTTTAATTTTTTACATTTTAATAAAAAATTATTCACTAACTTTATTTAATAATAAGAACAAAAAAATAAAAAATAAAAAAAATAAAAACATAAAAAACCTAACTTGCGCCGGACGCGTCACCCCCTCCCCCTTTTCCACTTTCCACCTTTTTCTCTCATTGTCAACTACATTAATAGATTTTTTTTTTTTTTTTTTTTTTTTTTTTTTTTTTTTTTTTTTTTTTTTTTTGGTGTGCTTAGAATAAGAAAAATACTTCAAATTAAATTACATTCCCTAGTTTTATTTTTGTGGTGTTGTTTTCCAATAGTAGTCTTCATGATGACGAATTTTTTTTCAATGTGCTCGGAACACGAAGTGTTACACCATGTGTCTTTATATAAGTTATGAGATTCTTATGTTAAAAAATTAATAACATAAAAAATAAAATTTTTCTCCACTTACATATTAATACGTGGTATACCATTTTGTGTTACGGGCACAAGGAAAATTTTCTCCAAGATGATACCCAAGCTCAAGAAATTGGATGGAGAGCTACATTTATTATTGTAGGTATGTAAAAAATGTGAGGAAATTTTAATTTGGTAATTGAAAACAGCTTTTTAAATATAATTACTGAGAACATAATCTTCGCAAGGTTTTGATCTAAAGGGTCACTTCTGGGTTTATCGTTTTCAACGCAATGAGTGCTTTTACAGGACCAAACATGGTCTAAGTTTCAAACCTTATGAAACTGAACCAAGAATTCAACACTATTTAAAAAATTTGATCAATAAGTAGACACTATTCATGAAACTAAACCAATAAGTAGAGAATATTTATGAAACTGGATCAATAAGTTGATACTATTTATGAAATGAAAACAAGAATTATGCATTATTTCCAAAACTAAACCGATAGGTAGAAATTATTTATGAAACTGGAGTAAGAACTAGACAATATTTATAAAAACCTGACCATGAGCTAGACACTATTTATAAAAGTGGACTAATAACTAGACACTATTTATAAAAGTGGACTAATAACTAGACACTATTTATAAAACCAGACTAAGAAAGAGACACTATTTATGAAACTTGACCCAATAACTAGGCACTATTTATGAAATATGACCAAGAACTAGACACTATTTATGAAAGTGGACAAAAAACTAGGCACAATTTATGAAATTTGACCAATAAATACTATAATATTGTTCAGTTTTATAAATAGTGTTTAGTTTTATAAACAGTGAACAGGTCCCATGCGTAAGTTTTTTTATTTTATTTTTTATAATTGTGTCCTTTTCATTAAAATTTAATTTTTTTTTTCATTTAACAAAGTTATAGCATGGTTTTTGGTTAAAATAAATTTAGGGCAAGCCCTTTTATGAAAGTTCCCTTATAATTTTGATCAAAATAGTTTTCGTACAACTAT